TGCAAATCTTTGAAATCACGAGCTAAATATGGATGGCTGTAAAGAGAGTCTAGTCAAGTTTGGAAAAGAAACAGCAACAGATATGGTCAACGCTGTGGGTGGATGTTCTGTCTAGGCCATCAGCAGTTCAACTTATGGCATCGTCTGCAGACCATCTCCCCAGAGCTAGAGGATGGCCACCCAGACAGAGGCTTTGGCACAAACAGTCATGTTTTTGTTTACGCCTCAAGCTGTCTCTGTCTCCCTCCCTCTCAGAGTTATTTAAAGCCCCTGAAGACCTGCTCCCCTCCACCGCTTGTGGGACTCTCCATCCATTAGAGAAAACAAGAGAATAATTTTCTCAATGCACGAAGAACACCAAGCAGCACACCACCCTAGAGCCATTTTGCATGCATCCGCATCATCCCAAATGGCACCCTATTTCCTATTTAATGGTGCACTAAAAGTAGTGAACTACTGTATATAGGGAATAGGGTGCAATTTGAGACACATCCATGTTCTTGGACAAGTTCCCATGATTCTCATGACCCCCATTAGGTCACACTACTCCAGCCTATTGCGTTTCCTCCAATGGGCTGCCCTTGTCTGACCCCTGAACCCTCTCTGAACAGTCGTCTGAGTCTAGTATCCTACTAACCTGGGATAGCAGCAACCCGTCCAGTGATGGGTGTGTGTGTCTACTGTCTATCGGCTGGGGCCGTTGTTTCATCGATACACAGACGACTGATCCCAAACACCAGCAACCTAACACACAAACTAATACAGACACACACGAAGACACACACACAAAGACACACACACGAAGACACACATACACGATGCACATCATCTAGAAGCGGGCATTAAGAGCCTCCTGCTGACGCTTTAGTCTAATCCTGGCCATTTTAATTGCCTTTGCTCCCTGTAAAAGGGAAACCTTGGCTGGGAGAGAGCCTATGGAGCTGGGACTAGAGGGACATGGAGGGCTGTGACACAGCAGCGACTCCCATTCTGCTCCCCTGGTTAGACGGGGCAGAGCGGACAGAGCTGGGCACACGGGACCTAATCTGGCAGGATGACCCACTTTCCTGCCAGGCCATTCTCTGCCTGCTCTCGCCCCGCCCCTACACGAGCGGTCGCTAAGGAGACACCTAGCCCCCTCTCATCAGGGACTCTGAACGTGGATGCTGGAGAGAGTTAATCCTTAGTAACCAAACACACAAACATCAACAGGGGGAGTTGTAGGTTCTGGAGGCACCTTTCCCAATCCTGCTGACAACCTTGGCTGCTCATACTCACTCCCCACACAGCTGAACTAGAGCACACACATGTACATCCATGCAAACTCTGCTGGTCGCGTCTGACTTGGCTCTCAGACGCTGCCTAAATGAAAACACCTGCAACTCTAGTTTTCTCACCTCAACTCTGGCTGAACTAAGCTGTGTAGGCTGACATTTTCCTGAGCCAGCATCCATCCCTAGACATATAGGGATGTGAGGGGAGTTATATAGGGAGGTGAGTTACATAGGGAGGGGAGGGGTATTTGAGGGTTCAAGAGACTCCAAGACAAACACTGAGATCCCAGGAATGGAGACACATTGGGATAACTCAGGGGACAGGTCACAACACTCTTCTCCTCTCGAGAAGCAACCACTGTTTGATAAGACAGATAATTAATGCATTTTAATTTCCTGTCTATCTCGTGCAACATCTTATAGTCAGAGAGCTCAAAATCCAAGGAGCTGAGGATGGAAATCGAGGCGGGAGTGTGGGGTCTCCCTTAACAACTCACCACTGTCTTTGCTGACATGCTTAACCCAGCCCTCATACCCCGCCCCCCACTGTTTTAACTGACTAGCCCCATAATCCCTCTGGCCCAGATACTGCAGGCAGCTCAACATGATGTCACATCCCACCCCACCATTTCATGAATCCCCCAGGAAGCCAGGGTCACATGACCAGGGCCTCTGCTTCAAAACAACCCGCCCCCCACCACCCAGGAATATGTTGGAATCCTTTACAGCGATCCTCAGAGACCAATAAGTTATGTTGCAGGACAGAGAACGTACAGGCCTGGGAGGTTAGTATCATCATCATTGTCATCATTATGGTTCCCATGAAGATGGAAGGAAAGATTGACAGGGCTACAAATGGGCATGCTCGGCTTGTGTGCTTGTGTATGTTCGTGCACATGAGTGTCCCCAGATCACACGTGACAGGATTGAGATGGTGCCTTTAAGTTCCCAGCATACATACCTGTCGCTATGGCAACAAGTCATCTCAATGATCCCTCCATCTTCAGTCTCAGAGAAACCAATGGTTGCATGAAAGTCTCAGAAATGGCTCCTACCACGGGCATGGCTAAAGTAGCCAGACAGCCTATGACGGTCATGGAGATTTCTTTACAGTTAGAAGTGGAGTAAGAGAGGGAAGAGAGAGGAGTAAGATCTACGCTCTGGTCCTCCTCTGTTTACCCAAATATCCTACTTTAGTTCCCCTAGCGCGTGTGTGTGCACGTGTGTGTCTGTGCACGTGTTCATCAAGTGTGTGTTGAAGAGGCTTTCTCTTAGCTGCTCAACTCACAATAAACAATGGCCATTTAATGTTTTTAATGTATTTATTAATTTAACACTTATTTTACCAGGTAAGTTGACTGAGAACACATTCTCATTTACAGCAACAACCTGTGGAATAGTTTCAGGGGAGAGGAGGGGGGATGAATAAGCCAATTTGAGCCATCTCTGTCTGTGAAGCGCTTCATGTAGCAGTATTCAACCGCTTCCTAACCAATCAGAGAGGAGAGCAGAGAGAGAGAGGAGAGAGAGATAGCGTCTCGTTGGAGAGTTAGGCTGACGTCACTGCCTCCCTGGGTAAGAGTGTTAAAGGCTGCCGTTGCTAGAGAGCACAGCCAGTGTCATGCAACTCTGTAACGGTCAGCTATAACAACAAGCCAAGGCTGAAACAATGACACGACATGCCTAGAAACATAGCTATCTGGGTTCCATTCAACAGAGAGGGCAGTGACAACTAAGTGAGGTCATCATGGGTAGTCAGTCAGTGTAGAGCGCGATGGTTCCCTTTTGATTAGTCGGTCAGTGTCACAAGTCACACACATTCATTGCATTTATAACGCACTCGCTCACACACAGCAAGCAGACACAATTTCACTGTGAGAATATTCTCAGTCTCTGTTGGGGCAGAGAGTAGTCTGCCATCAGACTCCATGGTCGAGTCGGCGGAGAATGTCCAGTGTAAAATGTATCATTCCAAGGCCACAGCTGGGACAGATCAACACTTGAATTCTTTCCCATCCATTTGTGCTACCACAGGGGCCAGGGCACACGCACGAGGATATGCACACACAATATGTCACTGCATTCACTTCGCGTATTAATGTAGACAGAAAAAGCAGAAATAATATAAAAAATAATACAGAATACAAAACAACAAGAAACTATTTAGTAACTGTAGGCTACTACATTCTTTAGGCCCTATTAGTTCATGTATTATTCTTTTTTTTATTGTTGTTGCGTAAAATCACAGAAAAAGCTCCGCATTCATGTATTAGACAGTAGACTAGATTAGGCAAAGGAACTATGAGAGCTGAGTTCAGATCACAGAATTTATACCTGCCACCATAAATAAAATCCATTTAACATCGCCTTAATCTAGTCAACGGATCGTGCTTGTAGGCTATGTCTATATGCCCGCTAAATCGAGCACTCTATCCCGTTGAACACCATTGCTATGACAACAAAAACGTAGCCAAGCATGAAGAAGTAAAAAAAAAAAAAAAGACAAGACATGCATACTCAAGTTTTCCAGTTGAAGAAACGAAGAGGAAAGTATTAGGGTATTGATAATTGCACCTACCCATTTCGTTACTTTCGTAGAACTTCAGTGCTTGGCCGATGCGATGTGACAAAAGTTCTGCAAGCGGGGAGCTGGTTCGTGCAGGGCAGCAGGGCGCGCGCTGGAGCACCAGTGCACGAACGCTCTCCCCGAAATCAATGCACCCCATCCGGTAGATACTGGGGCAGGGTGAGTGACGTCATTGCTGGGCCTTGGGCCCTTTTTGGTCAATAGGAAAGCTTTCTAATGTCTGCACAAACATTGCTTTTAACATATTTTGATCTCTATAATGACATGCTTGATGTAGTAATGTTCTGTTTATTTGGTTGTTTTGGTCAATACTGTTACTGTGCCTGTTTTTGTAAAATTGAAAAAACTTGAAGGAGACAAGAGAAGTAACCTCAGTGTTTATCCTAGGGGAGGAAATTATCTATAAATTATTTATAAAATATCACATTTCACCTCTTGGCTTGGCCTCCATGGCCAGTGGGCTATGAGTGAAATGCCAGGTGATGCAAGACATTAACATTTACATTTTAGTCATTTAGCAGACGCTCTTATCCTTATTTTTTTATACCCCCCGTGGTAATCGAACCCACATCCCTGGCGTTGCAAACGCCATGCTCTACCAACAGAGCTACATCCCTGCCAGCCATTCCCTCCCCTACCCTAGACGACGCTGGGCCAATTGTGCGCCGCCCCATGGGTCTCCCGGTCGCGGCCGGCTATGACAGAGCCTGGATTCGAACCAGGATCTCTAGTGGCACAGCTAGCACTGCGATGCAGTGCCTTAGACCTCTGCAGCTCCTACCCTGACACAGAATGCTACCAACCGTTTGTTGCACCATAAACCCCAATGTAAATGTCAAGCGTGTGTTGATGTTACGCACTAGAGTTGAGGTCTGGTTCTGTGTGCTGGCCTCTTTTCTAGCAGTTGGACCACCAGGTTACCTGTGACAGTAAGACTAGGGTTAGATGAAGTTGCTTTAAATCAGGCCAAAACATTGACTACAGCCATGCCAGAATCCACTCAGTGGCTGGATTCTCATGTACCACAGAACACAGACCCAGACCAAATGAAATCAAAGTACCAAGATCCAGGACCATAAATCATTAGCCTCACTGAAACAGATGTTGACATTTCAAATCTGATATAATAACGTATTCAGTGTTTCAATTAATCACATACATTCTTTATTAGAAACGATATCAATAATCTTATAAAAAATACAACTGATTGATATAAAACAGACACATGGGAAGAAACCAACACATTGTTCTACCTGAGCCGCTGAGACGGATACAACCCATCTGATTGTTGAGAAAGAAGCAAACAGAGGCGGAGGCTATTAAGCAGTATCTGAAGATGATGAAAACGATCTATGGTGAAACCAATATAGCAGCAATTGCATCCTTCACTTATGGTTAAATGAACTAGGAAAGAAATCCCCCAACATAAAAACAACAACTACTTTGACAGCAATAGGAGGATCATAGATTGTAGGCTACCTGGACATGAAACCCTGCTAACTGACAGAACAGGTAGCCTGAAAAAGAGTCTGTAAACTCAATTTGCAGGGGGAGTTTTAACATTTATGCAAATTGTGTATACTTGTCCTCATCTTATGCATTTGTAATTTCATTGTGAAACCAGAGGAACAGAAATAACTGGGTAGGAATGACAGAAACAAAATTCCCTCCTAAATGTTGGTTGACATAAAATGTTATGGTGAAAGGGGGAATGTTTAGGTACTTTGATCAGGTTGCAGGTAGTACCTCCCTGTTTCAAACAGTTTCCTCCCTACTGAACATGACCCAGTTTCTCAGCTATGTTTCAGGGGGTTGTCTAGACTGGAGCAGTGTGTGGGTGGGCTCCAGTGGAAGAACATAGATATCCGTAGTGGAGCTACAGTTTTAGAGGGATGACGGGCCAGTATTTGGGCTGTTTCTTGTCACAGTTTCTGTCGAAGGTGAGCTGCATGGCCGTCTCCATGCCCTGGATCTTTGCTGCGTCTTCGCCGTACAGCTTCTTCATCTCAGCGCCTCGGCGCTCACCCGGCCGCTCAGAGGGGGGCAGCGACCTGCTGCTCCAGGAAATTCTGTGCATGTCCTGGTCGGCCAACACGTAGGTCTCCTGCTGCTCCGCCTCCAGCTGCTGCTGCTTCTCTGTGGGGAGGAACACAAGACACAAGGCTTTTAAAGTCAGCATCAGAATACTTCGTAATTCATTCATTGTAGTTGTAATGGTGCTTTAAGTTGTCTACTCGTACAGCAGTATGATCAGAAGACCATATGATGTGGTGTTAGAGGGTTATTATAGAGTTATTAACACTCATTGTGGAACTTTTAGATGTAGATGGAGAGAATGACACACTCACTGAGCTCCTCCTTGTGCCGCTCAGTCTGGGCAAAATACTGGCGCAGCTCCTCTGTGATCTCCATGTTGCTGACGTCACATTCGATCTCGCTGTCTGAGCCACTTTCCCCATCATCTGTGCCCCCCTCTAAATCCTCCTCCACGTGGTCCTTAGCAGCGAACGTCTCCTCTGCCCTCCTCCCCCCACTCTCTCCCCCATGCCAGTCTGCATAGCGTTGGGGGTACCCTGGCCCGTAGGCTGCCTCCCAGGCCTTTCTGTAGGCCTGCCTGTGTCTCTCGTGCCAATTCATAGCCTGCTGGTAATGCTGCCAGTAGCGGCCATACACGGGGTGGGCAAACCAGGAGTGGATGCTACCATGGTCCTCCTGTCCAGGACAAGAGGATGGATGACATTGTTATCATCATGATTCATTGATAACATCCAACCAACATAGATTTTTTCATAAATGTTCACGTGCAAAACTAGCCACAAAGTGCAGAACTAGGCTAACCAAAAAGGTCCAATGTGGTATCTTGAATCTAGAAAGGCACCTTACCATGGTGGTGCTTCTCCTGCAGCGTGGTTTAGATCGCAGCTACTGTCTGTAAAGGGAAACACATTGTTGTCATAATAAACTTAATTTCAAACTAGTCATAGCTAGCTGGCTAGCATAGGAGCTCCAGGGGAGCCATAGCAAGCAAGTTAGCAGCAGCTAGCAAAATGACATCATCAATACAAAGATGGAGGCAGCTGGCGGTTTTGAGCGATATATGCTCAAACGTCAATAGCTATAACATTATTATAGACAGTAATTCAGTGTGAATAAGTGCACGATACATTGAGGCAACGTAGATCGCTCGTTACCTTCATCATAGTGCACCCGAACCGTGACAAACGCATGCAGCAACAAAGAAACAGCTGAAAAAATCTCCCAGAAGCCTTTGGAAAATAAAAAAGCTATTTAGTTCACGACTACATGATGCCACCTAGTGGATAGTAGTTGAAACGAATACCTCTAGAGCAGGGTTTCCCAAACTCGGTCCTGCCCCCCCCCAGGGTCCACGTTTTGGTTTTTGCCTTAGCACTACACAGCTGATTGAAATAATCAAAGCTTGATGATGAGTTGGTTATTTGAATCAGATGTGTAGTGCTAGGGCAAAAATCAAAACGTGCAGCCAGGGGGGCCCCAGGACCAAGTTTGGTAAAACTCTGCTCTAAAGAAGCTCACCTGGCAATGGCACACACAGGTGCTGAAAATGTTTCTATATATTTTGTGCGTCATGCATGTGCTCTTCTACAGCTGTATTAGTCCAAATTAAAACGTTTGTTTTTGTTGTCATTAGTGTTTGAGTGTTCAGTGTTGACTACAAAATCTGTTGTAAACTATCCAACCTCATACTGCACAATCATTGCATCAATGTGGCCTAGTGTTGTGTTCAGAAATATGGTATCCTAGCTCTATGCCCCCCATATACAGTTGGTCGGAAGTTTACATACACTTAGGTTGGAGTCATTAAAACTCGTTTTTCAACCACTCCACAAATGTCTTGATAAGTCGGTTAGGACATCTACTTTGTGCATGACACAAGTAATTTTTCCAACAATTGCTTACAGACAGATTATTTCACTTATAATTCACTGTATCACAATTCCAGTGGGTCAGATGTTTACATACACTAAATTGACTGTGCCTTTAAACAGCTTGGAAAATTCCAGAAAATGATGTCATGGCTTTAGAAGCTTCTGATATGCTAATTGACATCATTTGAGTCAATTGGAGGTGTACCTGTGGATGTATTTCAAGACCTACCTTCAAACTCAGTGCTTAACATCATGGGAAATTGAAAATAAATCAGCCAAGACCTCAGAAAAAAAATTGTAGACCTCCACAAGTCTGGTTCATCCTTGGGAGCAATTTCCAAACGCCTGAAAGTACCACGTTCATCTGTACAAACACTAGTACGCAAGTATTAACACCATGGGACCATGCAGCCATCATACCGCTCAGGAAGGAGACGCATTCTGTCTCCTAGAGATGAATGTACTTTGGTGCGAAAAGTGCAAATCAATCCCAGAACAACAGCAAAGGACCTTGTGAAGATGCTGGAGAAAACCGGTACAAAAGTATCTATATCCACAGTAAAACGAGTCCTATATTGACATAACCTGAAAGGCCGCTCAGCAAGGAAGAAGCCACTGCTCCAAAACCACAAAAAAAAAGCCAGACTACGGTTTGCAACTGCACATGGGGACAAAGATCGTACTTTTTGGAGAAATGTCCTCTGGTCTGATGAAACAAAAATAGAACTGTTTGGTCATAATGACCATTATGTTTGGAGGAAAAAGGGGGGACAGCATCATGCTGTGGGGGTGCTTTGTTGCAGGAGGGACTGATGCACTTCACAAAATAGATGGGATCATGAGGAAGGAAAATTATGTGGATATATTGAAGCAACATCTCAAGACATCAGTCAGGAAGTTAAAGCTTGGTCACAAATGGGTCTTCCAAATGGACAATGACCCCAAGCATACTTCCAAAGTTGTGGCAAAATGGCTTAAGGACAACAAAGTCAAGGTATTGGAGTGGCCATCACAAAGCCCGGACCTTGATCCTATAGAACATTTGTGGGCAGAACTGAAAAAGCGTGTGCGAGTAAGGAGGCCTACAAACCTGACTCAGTTACACCAGCTCTGTCAGGAGGAATGGGCCAAAATTCCCCCAACTTATTGTGGGAAGCTTGTGGAAGACTACCCGAAACGTTTGACCCAAGTTAAACAATTTAAAGGCAATGCTACCAAATACTAATTGAGTGTATGTAAACTTCTGACCCACTGGGAATGTGATCAAAGAAATAAAAGCTTAAATAAATCATTCTCTCTACTATTATTCTGACATTTTCACATTTTTAAAATAAAGTGGTGATCCTAACTGACCTAAGACAGGGAATTTTTACTAGGTAAAATGTCAGGAATTGTGAAAAACGGAGTTTAAATGTATTTGGCTAAGGTGTATGTAAACTTCCGACTTCATCTGTAGTTCAGTTGAGTATTGAATACTGTGGCTTTAAGAATGTATCAGGCACGTTGTGCGTGAACCGAGGCGTGAGGATTGGATGAGTGAGTTTTGTGCGAGTTGTTAACATGTTGATCTGAAGTAAAGACGTTCAGTTTAATTGCACAACAAGCCCCATCCCTCAGTTTACCACACAAAGTGACAGGGTCAGACTGTCGAAATGGCATTGTGGCTTTTAAGCATTTGCAGTGTCAGTTCGTCTGTTCGTGGTCTGTAACAGCTGAAATAGTGAAACATGATGGTGTACTTCCTCTCAGACAGCGCATCAGGCACACATCCCAACCAACTGGTTTGGATTTCTTGTCTTTCGAGCATGACGGACGCAAAATCAGCTTTATCAGAGCAGGTAGGCCTAATAAAAACAGTAACAGTTGACATACTAATTGTAAAAGTTGCAGAAGTAGCCACATTTTGAAATATGTCCTCTCAAACAGGACATTCAAAAGAAAATAGAGGAAACAAGACACATATTCCGGATCGAATATGCACAAGGTGAGCGCTCTGCTTTCTACTGGTAGTCCTGGAACAGCTGTTTGTGTATAGAGTAGGCTAAAGTAGGATTGCGCAACAACAACAAAAATGTATCCTGAGAACACTGAAATCCATGTGCATTTACACCCTTTGAAGTGTATATTAACCCAGGTGTGTGTTGTGCAGTATATGCCTCTTTTGATGCTCCATAGTTGTCCATACCAATCACAAGTCGAGTATTTTAACCTGAAACTATCACTTTTTTTTTTAAAGACAGAAGCAGCTCAACTGAATTCAATGTACCACACAAACGCACAGCGTAATAATACTGTGTGTCATACATTTTCCAACAGACTCAGCAGACAAGTATGACTCAAGGGACGTGGACAGGTTATGGAAGGACGATGTTTTGGTTGACGGTTATCTGGAATGGCGACACTATGTGGTGGAGGACAGCTTGAAGATGATCGACGAGAGTCTTCAGTGGAGAAAAGAATTCAAACTGAATGGTGGGTTGACCTTTGCATTTACAGGGACTTGATGTCAACCAGTACCGTTGTCCAATACTGTATAGCTGTAATAACGAACATATAGCTCCAACAAAGAACAGTAGAATAGTTGGCTAGGTTATTGTGCATTCTGCAAATTGCTGACATACTTCCACTGGTTGAACATGATGGTGTTGATAAGATGTTTCCTGCTTTGAGATGTATTTATGTAATGAATAGCGCTATATAAGTATAATATATAAGAATGATGTATTATTATTATTATTATTACTATTATAGACAGCAGTGATAGTCCGGTTTGATTAATTTATGAATATCCCTCCTTTATCTTCCAGACATCAATGAAAGCTCTGTTCAAAAGTCTCTTTTTGAGTCAGGCATGCATTATCTCCATGGCTACGATAAAGAGGGCAACAAACTGTGTAGGTTTTTGTGTTCTCTTTCCCAACATATGTGCTGACAATCAAGAAGGTTCTGTTGTGAAAATGTTTTTTCTGAGATACCTCATTTATAGCCACCCTCATCATTTTATCTCTTGTAAAAGCCTCATCCTCACTTTGGGGTGCTGTGATCATTTTCTATGCATCTCACTATTCAGATTGTAGTTTCCTGATTTAGGTGCACACACAACTCAAGTTAGGATTGGGATTGGCAATCTTGCGTTTTTGTATGGTGGATTAGTTGGTATTTTTGAGCTATTTGGGTCTCTGCCTCGAAGGCCACTGAGCTTTAACCGTATGTTGTCTGCCAAGTCTGGTTCAGGGTTAAGCTGCACGTGAAGGATGTGAAGATGTTGACAGAGAAGAAGAGGTACGTGGCCTTCTGGTTGGAGAGCTACGCCCGGCGGGAACCAGGGGTTCCCCTCACCGTGATCTTTGACATGTCCGAAGCAGGTCTAAGCTGCGTTGTAAGATGTCCACTCTCTGCTCTCCTTTCATTCCCCTCTAGATGCTTTGTGGGATTTGTGTTGTAGAAGTTGGTAAAAATTCCCAAACATTTTGTGTTAACAAGTCACTGAGTGGATCTTTACACACTAATGCTTGTCTTTGGTTTCCTTTTAAACTACCTTTGTGAAGACACACTAAGGTGAACCTGAACTATCCTCACCTATTCTCTGCTCAAGTATGTGCTGTTGTTTACTTTCCATATTATGTACAGTGCACTGTGCATGACAAGCTCAAACATGTAGTAGACGGCAAGCTCTGAAGAACTAGATGCTGACTATTATATGTATTCTACTATTTTTCTCTCTAAATTGGTTTCTTAGGAGCATAAGATTGTATAAACAGAAGCAGTCTTGAGTACATTGAGACAAAGTATTCTCTATTGCCAAATCTGGGTCATGCCTTAGCTTGGGGCTCAAATATGGCAGGAGACATACAGTACAGCTGTGTCCTTTCCAAACAGGTTTCCCCTCACATACCGGGTTGAAAGATGTATTGGTTTATTTGTTGAAAATATTTATTTAAACAATAGGAATTCTCTCTCTTTTCTCTTGTAGGACATGGATTTGATCAAATATATAATAAATTGCTTCCAAGTGTATTACCCTAGATTGCTCTGTAAGTATCTATTTCTTCTGGTGTTCTTCCACCACAGGAGGCTGCTGAAGGGAGGACGGCTCATAGTAATGGCTGGAATGGAGTCAATGAAATGGTATCAAACACATGTCTTCGATACCATTCCATTGATTCCATTCCAGCCATTACTATGAGCTCGTCCTCCCCAATTAAGGTGCCACCAGCCGCCTGTAGCTTCCACCTGGTGCATTTGGTCCCATAGTGTAAAAGGACTCAGTGAACCCAATTGCATGCCTTTGTTGCCTACAGAGAATGTAAAATGAATCGTGTTATGATTTATGTGTCCTATTTAATTTCAGCCAAAATGCTCATGTACGAGATGCCATGGATCATGAATGGTGAGTCACTTAAAGAAGAAAATGCTACGGTTCCACTCAATGTCACTGCTGCAGTCAGTACTACTAACTACACTCCCCCCATCTTCCCTTATAGCGGCATGGAAGATAGTGAAGAACATGCTCAGTCAAGACGCCATCGACAAGCTGAAGTTTGTGTCCAAGAGTGACATCCAGAACTACGTTGATGGAGAGCACCTCCCGTCCTACATGGGAGGAACTGTGTGTAACCTACCACTCAATGGCCACAATAACCCCCATACATACAAATATCTACTGTGCACATAAGCACATGCCGATGTTAAAACATCTGTGTATGCCCATTGGCTAACATGACAACATGCATGCACGTTACTTTCAGCACAGTGCATATGATGCACATGACTGACATATTCAAGAGTCATACATCCATGTTCTCATGTAAAGCTGCTGTGTCTGTGCACACACACATACTTGCATGCATATAAACAACTCCCTCTGCTGGTATCATGCATACAGTGCATAAAGCAATACTATTTTGTATACACACACCTTGCCAGAATTCATCACCAATACGTTGATAAATAATTGATGTATTACAAATGCATTGCATTTACCTTGGAGTTATTTTCACATTTTCTCCTAGGATCCATTCAAATTCAGTTACCCGCCTTTGCCTGATGATGTCTTCCAGAACCCCATATCAGAGACTGGACAAGAGGATGACACTGAGTCAAAGGATGATGACCTGGAGGCCAAGGACACCCTGGAGCCGAGCTCTCCTTCACTCAGAACCAGAAATGTTGTTCTTCATTCCCCCTATGACACCCCTTGGTTTTAACACTGAACTTTGTTACACTCTCGAATGATATCAACAACAGGAATATTAGTGTCCTTGAGCTCAATTTCTCTCTTTGTCTGAGGCAGGTATACTTTGCAGAGGATGGGGACAATGATGCAGCCATCAGATGGAAAGGATCCCGTAGGTCAACCGTCACTTTTAAAGGCACCTTACTCTATATCAGGTTAGCTTTGGAAACTGTGTATTTTCCCTGATACATACAGTATAGTGTAAGCACTTCAAAAACTAATTGAGTCACATAGTTTCCAACCACAGACCTCACACTACCTTTTAAGGTTATGAGTCCACTGTTTACACTGAGGCTGCTAGACAGAGATGATATGTGGCTCCCACACTCTCACTCTCTTTTTCCAGTCCTGCTGAGGAGTTGTGCTTTGGCCCCAGAGAGAGTGAGAAGAGATGTCTGATCATGCTCAATAATGTCACCAAAAACCAAGTGGCCTTCAAGGTCAGTTCTCATGCTGCTCTTTCTAAGTGTGTGAATGAATCATTACAATGTACTTGTATGAGAGCACCCTTGTTTGTGCGGCCTCAGGTGCGGACCACAGCCCCAGAGAAGTACAGGGTGAAGCCCAGCAGTAGCAGCTGTGGGGCGGGCACGAGTATGGAAATCACTGTGTACCTGCATGGAGGTACTACATATCGTAGCCATAATTCTACCATCTCCTCTGTCTCTTTGTAATACAAACCCATCATTCAGGTTTTGAAAAGGTCAAGGACTGGCCCATGTGGAATTGTAGCTGTCCTCTAATCGTTTGTGCTCGGATTTCCTCCTCTCCAATTGGCTCTCAGGTTCCCTGTGCTCTCCTCAGGACCGCTTCTTAATCATGGCTGCTGAGATGGAGCCAAGTAGTGGTGGGGGGAAGCACAGACCTCGTCCAGTTCTGGAAGGACGTCCCAAAGGCTAAAATAATGGAGCACAGGTAGCACCATACATTGTACACACACAGAACACAACTCAAACCAGTTTTTATGAGTATTGGTTTGTTGACTGTCACCAAAGGCAACAAGGCCTCGAGGACGCATATTTAAGGACTGTTCACCAGTGGTCTTCTACTTTCTTTACCTACAGGCTGCGATGTCGCATGCTGGAGGGCATGAAGTCGGCACTCAGCCCTGTGACTGACAGGTCTTACAAAATGGAGACCAATGGCTACCAAGACATGCACACCAAGGTGAGTTGTGACCTCGGGCGACAGACTCTGACACACACCCTTATTATGCAAATGTACAATAGAACAATTACATATTGACTATTATCTTTGCCTGCTGAAGTGCTTTTCAATCTATCAAGACCATCTGAAGTCAGTGTGTGGTCTGAAAACGGTTCTTCACCTGGGTCGTGTTCCATTTGGCATGGAAGGGAAAACATCTTCAAATGTTTTGCAACTGAAGACAAAAATGTGCATTTCTTACGGGACAAGGGCAGGTAGTCCCACCCTGTTTTGGTCTGTTTTCTTCCATTTGGCGCCTAATGAATATGCCCTTGGTGCCCCCTGTTCCTCCCCCAGCTTGTTCAGTTGATGGCCAGCAGCTCCAGGCTGGAACAGAAGATGGACCGCTGCCTGCGGTGGCAGAAGCTATTGACTGTACTGGTGACTGCGCTGACGGCCTTAGGCTTCTCTGCCCTCTACATACAGTACACTGGGGAGTGGCCATTTTTTAACTTTCCCACAGTGGAGGAAGAAGACAAAAGGACCAGTCACAGTGGAGTCAGGATGAAAGTGGATTTCTGATTGGAGCAGAAATATGAGGAACTGCTCGCAATCCACTCAATGGCCTTTGGACACTGTGAATACAATCATATTTCCACACTATCAGGTTGGAATAATACTGTGAAATTGTGAAAGTAATGATAATGCCCTTTTAGTGTAAGAGCTGTTTGAAAAGACTGCCTGAAATTTCAGCCTGTTTTAGTGGGTCATGGCTAGCAGGTTAGGAGAATTTACAGCAGGTTAGGAGAATTAGGTTAAGGTTGGGAAACTTTTTACATTCATTTGACAAAAACTGGAGCCCTTCTGGAGTTTTGGCCTGCCTGGTGACATCACCAGGCGGTAAATTAGTTAACAGACCAATAAGAAAGAGGGTTTCCTAACCTCTCTGCCAATAACAGCTAGTTTTCAGTTTTCCCCTACCCACTCAGACCACTCCCAGACACCCCTAGCAAAATTATTGCTTGAGAAATTGCTCTTTGCTAAAAGGATATTTTTGTTTCTTTTTGACCATTTAATTGAAAAAAATCAGATTAAGGTACGTAATTGTTACCCAGAAATGATTTGATATTGAGATAAAAACAGCTGCATTGGACCTTTAACCTGTCTGTTACTAATATCTTCTCAATTATGTCTAACTTGAACTATTTACTATGGGTTTATATGAATGGAAGACCATGAATATAATTTGATAGCCAACATGTCGTCTTGGTGTTTTTACAGTGTAATTTACGTTAGTTGTTACATTGTAATAGTTTACAGATTGTAATTTCCCCTAGATTCATCTGAAGAAGCAGAACCAGCCAAATACCTACATACACTCTATGAAATAAACACAATTATTGTTTTTGATTTAAAGATAATCACACTCACTCACCTCTCTCCCATTGACACCAATGCAAAATAATTGTGCTCTGAAGCACATTCTGAGTTATTTACGGACGTAATCAACGGTTGTTGCTTTTTGAACCCACCTGTCTGTCACTATGCACTCCACATCCAACTCACTTACAAGGGATTGGGAGAGACACATTCATACATTTTTCTGAAGAAATAGGCAGCGTTGTTTTTAATTGGTCTACTCTACTGCATAGTGTGTGGTTGGCATCTTGGCGGAGGACCCCCGCGTTGAGCAGATGGCGCCGGGGTGACCTTTCACCTCCACTGATGTGACAGGCGTTCTGGAGGGAGGTGTAGATGGAGAGAGAAACAACGTTCTCCTCCCAACACCTCCACTGATTAGCTGGGGACATGGCGGCTAGGTGATACACCTACAGAGATAGACGATTTAATGGCTGACACGCATTCCGTGTGACAGATGTGATCAGTAGGTGTTTTTTCCTCTCACTGGTAGTTTGCTTGTGTAATTATCTTGACTGCTCTTATACTAATTGGGTGTGATTCACTATTTGACTCCCTCTTTGATGATGAGGTACGGCCTTCCAAGAACAGATGTACAGCAAGTAGCACATTAAGATGGTGATAAAGTATGTGTGATTGTTAAGTGTTGATCGTATTGAACCCATCTTCTATTTGTCATTGTTGACAATGGTTATGTAGCCTAAACCAATGTCTTATACTTCTATTAGACACATTGGAGACCAATGAGCTGTAATATCAATATTGGTCGGTCTTGGCTGAAACCAAATAACATGTTCCACAACTGTGGATCATCCTTTACTGTTTTGTGTCCTCATTCTGTGTAGGCTATGTCTGCCTGCCACCCAAATGTTGGTTATGCTAGAAATCCATAAAGAGAAGAGTATGGGAGCCATTGTGGGGGTGTAGTAAGAAGCTAATTACAAGGTGTCAAAACCCCAGGGATGAAAATGGGGGGGGGGGGGGGGCAACAGTTATATATTGTGTGAGATGGGAAGCAGAACAAAAACAGCTTTTAGTCATTGCACGACAAACAAGCTACAGATCTCAGGGGGAAATAATCAGATGATGTGACAATTATAGCAGGCTGCACTAGGATGCCCACATTGGTAGCTAGGGACAATTGGAGATTGTATTATTGCCAAAGGTTGGAACAGGTTTGTTAGCCTAGTTTGTATCACACTAATATTTAGGGCTTTGAGCATTAATTTGGGTCTGTACTAAATGCACAAACTGCTTTACGGGCTGGTGCAGCTTAAGTGGCACTGATTCAGCTGCTTTCAGCTCCCCCTTGCTTCTTGAAAGCGATCTACAGCAGAATGTAGCGGAGAGTGGAAGTGGTCATTAAAGCGCCGGAAGTACCCAATACTCCGACGAATTTGTTTTGAATGAGGAATTCTGGCTGATTCATTGTAGCGAGCTAGACTTGAATAGTTAGCACACACGACTATTCTTTCCAACATTTTTACAGATTAAACAGGTATGATAACACTTCCACAAATGTTTATAGCACCACCCTAGCTACCGAAGCAGAAAATAATCCATACCGAAGAAGTTGCTATGTAGTCAGTTCGGTTGTTCGACTGTCGCGTGTAATGAAAGAGTTAGCTAGCTAGCTAACTGCCGCTACGCTACCGCTAACAAGCTAGTTAAGGCAGTTTATCTGGTTAACGTTAGCAAACTTAGTCAAACATGTTGGTTAGTTGAGAGACCAAGCTTTTTATTAAGAATGTGTTATTATACCGCGTTTAACATTATTTTATTTGTTCTGGTAGATAACATTAGCCAGCTAGATGATTAGCCAACTAGCTATAATAGGTAGCTAACTGTCTACGTTAGTTAGCGTAGTCAATACTGTCATTATCAATAATGTGTGATGACACAATTTAATCTATCTAGTAATATAATAGTCAGGAAAAATAGCTAGATTGTACTGTCTGAAAAGCAGGCATTCCAGATTAATCAGGAAAATCAACTAGCTACCTGTGAAACAGATGGTGTTGTCACAAAATCGTATTGTCTGACAGCTAGCTAACGTTAACTGACAACTATGCCATGTCATTCCATCCTGCTCTTTTGACTGCCTTTGGTTAGAGGGATTAACAACTGTTTTTTTTGTTTACTAGCTAACAACAATACATAATGTTTAGAAGGTGATAGGGTTGAAAATTATAAATAGGGTTGACATTCATCGCTGTGTTTTCCCTCAACAGAAATGGATCGGCTGCTGAGGCTTGGAGGTGGGATGCCCGGACTGGGTCAGGTGTGTTTTTAGCCATGATTTATCTCGCACGCTGTCGCTATGGAATGCCCTTAGACCTTGTCTCATTAATTCAATAATGAAGCAGAACTCTAATATTGGGCTATAACAATCCTAGCTATATATCTACAACACCAATCGTATCCCTGATCACCAAACAGGGAGTGATTCTGACTAGAGATAGGTGGGATAGGGAGAAATGACTACAAATGACAAGTGAGTGGCTATAGCCAGGGTAGACCTTGTTGCTCTTATCCACAGACTGAAAAGGACCTGGCAGCTGTCATAAATATTGTACATATTAGTCTGTTGTATGGTCTATAGCCTACAAAATCAAGTTAAACATTTCCAATTGCCTCCCTCAATAATCTCTGCAAAGTTTAATCGTTTTTCTGGCTATAGCCTATTTGCTCTACATGTTCGTTTTCATGTGAAATGGATAGTGAGAATAGATTGTCAAGCCATTCTGTTCAATATTTTACAGTTTTAGTCATTTAGCAGACACTCTTATCCAGAGCAACTTACAGTTAGTGAATGCATACATTTTTTAAATATTTTTTTTATCTCTCTCCATACTATGTATTATAAATATGTATTTACAAATTCTAAGTAGCCTAATCAAAAATAATGATTGTTAAGGCTGCCTAACCACTGCAGGGTCCCCCTTGCGCTATTATCAAGCATGCTTTGTTGGAACATGTTTTTAGAGTAGTGTAGCCCTGCCCAATCAAAAGGGCCCGGGGCGCTCTTTGGTGAGAGAAATGAAAAGAGCCCACTTTGTTATGTTCGTAGCGGCCTTGCCAGGCGAGGCCAATGAGGAGCTTGCTCCTGACTGGCATTGAATTAGCCAATTAACACCTCCAGTAACTGGCTGCCTTGGCACCATACAGAGGTGTTAAAAAGAAGGGGGAGGTGGGGGGGGTCTTCTTTCAACCTCTTCCTCTCTGACATGCAGGGCTTCAGATGACCAAATTACAATATTACTTATTTTTTTTTGTCATTTAGCAGATCCTCTTATCCGGAGCGACTTACAGGAGCAGTTAGGGTTAAGTGCCTTGCTCAAGGGCACATCGACAGATTTTTCACCTAGTCGGCTCGGGGATTAGAACCAGCGACCTTTCGGTTACTGGCTCTACGCTCTTAACCACTAAGCTACCTTTCAGGGTATTGAACATACACTGGGTGTACAAAACATTAGGAACACCTGCTCTTTCCATGACATGGACTGACCAGGTGAAAGCTATGATCCCTTATTGATGTGACTTGTTAAATACACTTCAAAAAGGTTAAAGAAGGATTTTTAAGCCTTGAGACAATTGAGACATGGATTGTGTATGTGTGCCATTCAGAGGGTGAATGGGCAAGACAAAATATTTAAGTGCCTCCGAACGGGGTATGGTAGTAGGTGCCAGGCGCACTGGTTTGAGTGTCAAGAACCGCAACGCTGCTGGGTTTTTCACGCCCAACAGTTTCCTGTGTATCAAGAATGGTCCACCACCCAAAGGACATCCAGCGCTTGACACAACTGTGGGAAGCATTGGAGTCTACATGGGCCAGCATCCCTGTGGAAAGCTATTGACACCTTGTAGAGTCCATACCCTGACGAATTGAGGCTGTTCTGAGAGCAAAAGGGGGTGCAACTCTATAATAGGGAAGGTGTTCTTAATGTTTTGTGGACTTAATGTATATTTGAAATGCGTTCATTGTATTAAGACATTTGTAGAGAAATGTCACTGACTAGTGGCTAAGCTAACGTCAAATTGCAGGTGGTGTTTATTGTCAACAAAATATATTAAAGGGAAACTCAACGATATGACGTAGATGCAGAAAGTAAACAGCATAGTGGGTCAATTTCCACAACAACTAAGAGCGTTGAAGCACGCGGCTCAACTTCTCCGTGGACATGCGCAGATACTGTGTGAGACTGTGTGAGAGCGAAGTCTTGCGTCTCGCTCATCTCAATATCTGCGGTGCCACTCGTGGCAACGTCATTTCGCTGAGTCTACTTTTAAATAATGATAATCAGTTTGTCAATAATATTGACGACTGTGACTATTATATTATAAACAGCAGTGAAGCTGTATTTTGTTCTCCTAGCCAGCTCTGTGTGCCAGTAAACTATAGCCTACAAGCTATTATTCCTCCCCCCCCAGGGCCCACCTACAGACGCCCCTGCCGTAGACACTGCAGAGCAGGTGTACATCTCCTCTCTGGCACTGCTCAAGGTAAGAGGGAAATAAACAGTAGTTGCCATTATAATTTATACCAACTAGTTACATGATGTGTGTCCATCGCAGTCGTCAACGGCTCACCATGTATTTCCATCTCTTTTAGATGCTGAAGCACGGGCGTGCCGGTGTGCCTATGGAGGTCATGGGTTTGATGCTGGGCGAGTTTGTGGATGACTACACTGTGCGAGTGATTGACGTATTCGCCATGCCGCAGTCAGGAACTGTACGTTTTCCAAGCCATGTCCCCTAACAGACCTTGCAGGACAATGTTGAGTAGCTCTTGCATGTGATGCTTTCTCCGCCAGTGTTTGCGTAATAGCACTTCTCTCTCCAATAGGGTGTCAGTGTGGAGGCTGTGGACCCTGTCTTCCAAGCTAAAATGTTGGATATGCTTAAGCAGACTGGCAGGTAAATGCATATGGACAACTTACTGATATACAAAATATTAGTTAGTACGCCATTATTGATTTGGCATAGCTTCTCCAGGACAAAGTCACACAAGTGCTCTACACTCCAGGATACAAATAAAAACAGAAAAAAGTCATTCGTAACAAAACAAGAAAGACATCTGCGCAGTAATAGTGTGTTGAACAAAAATCATTGAGGTGGTTCTCATTGCTGTCTCTTCCAACTAGGCCAGAGATGGTGGTGGGCTGGTACCACAGTCACCCCGGGTTTGGCTGCTGGCTGTCAGGCGTTGACATCAACACCCAGCAGAGTTTCGAGGCCCTGTCGGAGAGAGCCGTGGCCGTGGTGGTGGATCCCATCCAGAGCGTCAAAGGAAAGGTACGTCCAAAAACCACAGGGATGCAAATGTGTCACTTTTCAGCGATTTTCGCCATTTTGATCTCAAAATAGGTAATCAACATGAATTGTGTAGATCTGTAAAAACAAAAAAAAACACACGTCTGTGGGGGGGGGGGGGGGGGGGTTCTGACTGGGAAATTTGGAATGCAACCTGGCTTCAAAATAATGCTGTGATTATAGTTGATAAGAAGCATGTATGTTTCAATAGCGCAAATTATTACACACAGTTATTAATGTTAGCTAGCTGACTACGTTAGCATCTAAGTTGGCCAGCTAACATTAACACCCGCTTGCCTCGGCTAACTTCGTGTTGCTCGGCTTACTGTGTGTAATAACCTACTGGAACACTTATATGCATTGGAGGAAGCGAGGGAGTAACTTTATAAACTTGGTTGCTTGATTATTAAACCTAGCATGGTAGCACAGGTAGGTAGCTGCACAACAACGGTGGATATTGGAGGTGTGACGTCCCAATACTCTTAATGATACAAATGAATAATGGTGCCTAACATTTGGGAGGTGTGAGAGAGAAAGGTGTGTGTGAGGGAGGGAGGTAAGGAGAGTGAGTGTAGGCTGTGTGTGTGCCGTTGTCTGAAGAGTAGGCTGAAGATGGTTTCAATAGGCCTAGTGTGTTTTCCCCTTACTGCCATAATGAAAATGCAGATCATTATGCATTAATGTCCCTTACTACATTCCTCCTGCCCAATCACAGGTAGGCCTTTGGATATGAGCAAATCAGCTATTTTCTGCAGTAGCCTTTTCTATTATACAGTGAAAAGTGTGAAGCTAAATTCAATGTGTTGTATTAAGTAGAGGTGTGACTGTCAGGGACAGGTTTTTGTGCAGCACACATATAGAAAATGGGAACAGGCGTTTACACCGATTTTTCGTGTGTTTCTGCGCGAAAAAGATTTCTCACCTTTTTGGGCCCTCATCAGTTTGTATCCCTGAACCACCATGATTGTGATGGCACATTCTCTTTTTATTTAGCAGTGTTCTAATTTAATTTGTATGCCAGTTGTGTGACAGGTTGGCTTTCTCATGGGTGCAAACTTCAATCAATCCAACAATAAAATCAGTGATTGATTGATTGTGTGGAAACTCGAATCATTCGAGATTTTAGCTAACAGCGTTCTGCCTGTGTAGCCATCTAAGGTTTTTACTATTAGATCTCCTGGGATTGAGATGTCTTCATCCAGAACTGATCATACACCCCCCACCCCCACCACACTCCTTTCCTTGTTATGTTTTTCTCTTTTCCACCCTCCCGGGCCCCATATGGCACTTCCTCCATCTCCTCCTGCCTCTGTGCTGCGGGGAGCTGTCTATTATCACCTCCACAGAGCTGTCTGTGAATGTGAGAGCCAATTCCATCTCAATGTGTGATCTCCGCTCAGAGGAGAGTGCACCGCTAGAAATGAAAGTTAGCTCTCCAATGTTTTACATTAGAAATGGTTCCTAAGCATAGGCGATCTCATAAAGATATTTAATAAGATTGCTATTAAGAGTAGTGTGTTGATGACCGAGGGGATGGTTTAAAACCTTTTTAGTCGTAATAATATTTAGCCGCCCAAGCAAGAGAGAAAGCATATATATATAAAAAAAAAAATATATATATATATATATATATATATACAGTGAGGGGGAAAAAGTATTTGATCCCCTGCTGATTTTGTACGTTTGCCCACTGACAAAGAAATGATCAGTCTATAATTTTAATGGTAGGTTTACTTGAACAGTGAGAGACAGAATAACAACAAAAATATCCAGAAAAACGCATGTCAAAAATGTTATAAATTGATTTGCATTTTAATGAGGGAAATAAGTATTTGACCCCTCTGCAAAACATGACTTAGTACTTGGTGGCAAAACCCTTGTTGGCAATAACAGAGGTCAGTCATTTCTTGTAGTTGGCCACCAGGTTTGCACACATCTCAGGAGGGATTTTGTCCCACTCCTCTTTGCAGATCTTCTCCAAGTCATTAACGTTTCGAGGCTGACGTTTGGCAACTCGAACCTTCAGCTCCCTCCACAGATTTTCTATGGTATTAAGGTCTGGAGACTGGCTAGGCCACTCCAGGACCTTAATGTGCTTCTTCTTGAGCCACTCCTTTGTTGCCTTGGCCGTGTGTTTTGGGTCATTGTCATGCGGGAATACCCATCCACGACCCATTTTCAATGCCCTGGCTGAGGGAAGGAGGTTCTCACCCAAGATTTGATGGTACATGGCCCCGTCCATCGTCCCTTTGATGCGGTGAAGTTGTCCTGTCCCCTTAGCAGAAAAACACCCCCATAGCATAATGTTTACACCTCCATGTTTGACGGTGGGGATGGTGTTCTTGGGGTCATAGGCAGCATTCCTCCTCCTCCAAACAAGGCGAGTTGAGTTGATGCCAAAGAGCTCCATTTTGGTCTCATCTGACCACAACACTTTCACCCAGTTCTCCTCTGAATCATTCAGATGTTCATTGGCAAACTTCAGACAGGCATGTATATGTGCTTTCTTGAGCAGGGGGACCTTGCGGGCGCTGCAGGATTTCAGTCCTTCACTGCGTAGTGTGTTACCAATTGTTTTCTTGGTAACTATTTTCCCAGCTGCTTTGAGATCATTGACAAGATCCTCCCGTGTAGTTCTGGGCTGATTCCTCACCGTTCTCATGATCATTGCAACTCCACGAGGTGAGATCTTGCATGGAGCCCCAGGCCGAGCGAGATTGACAGGTCTTTTGTGTTTCTTCCATTTGCGAATAATCACACCAACTGTTGTCACCTTCTCACCAAGCTGCTTGGCGATGGTCTTGTAGCCCATTCCAGCCTTGTGTAGGTCTACAATCTTGTCCCTGACATCCTTGGAGAGCTCTTTGGTCTTGGACATGGTGGAGAGTTTGGAATCTGATTGATTGATTGCTTCTGTGGACAGGTGTCTTTTATACAGGTAACAAGCTGAGATTAGGAGCACTCCCTTTAAGAGTGTACTACTAATCTCAGCTTGTTACCTGTATAAAAGACACCTGGGAGCCAGAAATCTTTCTGATTGAGAGGGGGGTCAAATACTTTTTTCCCTCATTAAAATGCAAATCAATTTATAACATTTTTGACATGCGTTTTTCTGGATTTTTTTGTTGTTATTCTGTCTCTCACTGTTCAAATAAACCTACCATTAAAATTATAGACTGATCATTTCTTTGTCAGTGGGCAAACGTACAAAATCAGCAGGGGATCAAATACTTTTTTCCCTCACTGTACATACATTACGTTTTTACAAACCTACCCTAATGACTTAGATCCAAAGCACAGTGTTCTACCTACTTTGCAATCTTAAAAATATATGTATGTATGGCCCCGTGTAGCTCAGTTGGTAGAGCATGGAGCTTGCAACGCCAGGGTTGTGGGTTCGTTTCCCACGGGGGGCCAGTATGAAAAAATGTATGCACTCACTAACTGTAAGTCGCTCTGGATAAGAGCGTCTGCTAAATGACTAAAATGTAAATATATATATTGGGGGGGGGGGTTAAATACAAGTTCAGCAATAAAAAAAAATCTGAATTCCAATTATTTGTCTTTCTTCTTAGGAATTGAATTGAATTTAAATGGAATCGACACGGACACCGTTCCTTTCCTCTCTGTGAGATAACACATGGTTCCTTTTGTTATTTCGGGCAGGTTGTTATCGATGCGTTCCGGCTGATCAATGCCAACATGATGGTTCTGGGACACGAGCCCAGGCAAACCACCTCCAACCTGGGGCATCTGAACAAGCCCTCCATCCAGGTAAGACCATGGAGCCGCTGACCACTACACCTCTGACCAGCTATGTGTTTTAACATGCAAGTGAATGTAGAGTTTCTGTTCTTATTTGAATCATCTGTTTTCCTCCTCCAAGGCTCTGATCCACGGACTGAACAGGCATTACTACTCCATCACCATCAACTACAGGAAAAATGAACTTGAGCAGAAGGTGTGAAACATTTCTGAAAATCTATTATACATGTCAAAATTACTTCTGTTTAAGGGGAGCATAGAATATCAGAAAAAGATAAGGACTGTTGACTGTCATAATTGAATGAGAGTTATAATTTCACCACTGAGATTGACATTTTATAATATGTCTACCGTATGTACTCCTGAATGGCAGGTGATGTCATCTTCTGTGCGCCATAACATACGTACACGGCGCCCCTATCCTCTCTTGGTTACATGTGCACATTAACATATGATCCTTGAGTGACTTTTGATCCTTGACCTCCCAGATGCTGTTGAACCTGCACAAGAAGAGCTGGATGGAGGGCCTGACCCTGCAGGACTACAGCGAGCACTGCAAGCTCAACGAAAACATTGTCAAGGAGATGCTGGAGCTGGCCAAGAACTACAACAAGGTGAGCACGCAGGGATCAGAAAGGGAAAGTGGGAGGGAAGTATTTTGAGACCAGGGGTCTGTGTGGGCAAACTGCATGAGTTATCCTGGGTGGTGTTCATTAGTATTCAAATAGAAGAAAATGGACTGAAACAGGGAGGGACTACCTGGACTCAGAAACATGAGCATTGCGTATGGGGGTGTAGTGAAATACCTGATGGGTTGGACGATTCTCTTCTCATCACTCATCTTGAAAAAAACGTGGAAATCAATCAATCCGCCATCATTAACACAATGGAAAAATCTAATGATTTATTATTGAAATATTGAAAGAGGGAGAGAAACAAAATGGTGGAGTTTCAGACCATGTGGAGGAAAGTGATGCGTGTGATAGTGGGGCTGGGCAGGTGTGATGCAGCTGATGTTAGTATGATGTACAGTGCCTTCGGAAGGTATTTAGACCCATTGACTTTTTCCACATTTTGTTACATTACAGCCTTATTCTAAAATGTATTAAAAAAAATATATATATATATACACACACACACACACAGTGGGGAGAACAAGTATTTGATACACTGCCGATTTTGCAGGTTTTCCTACTTACAAAGCATGTAGAGGTCTGTAATTTTTATCATAGGTACACTTCAGCTGTGAGAGACTGAATCTAAAACAAAAATCCAGAAAATCACATTGTATGATTTTTAAGTAATTAATTTGCATTTTATTGCATGACATAAGTATTTGATCACCTACCAACCAGTAAGAATTCCGGCTCTCACAGACCTGTTAGTTTTTCTTTAAGAAGCCCTCCTGTTCTCCACTCATTACCTGTATTAACTGCACCTGTTTGAACTCGTTACCTGTATAAAAGACACCTGTCCACACACTCAATCAAACAGATTCCAACCTCTCCACAATGGCCAAGACCAGAGAGATGTGTAAGGACATCAGAGATAAAATTGTAGACCTGCACAAGGCTGGGATGGGCTACAGGACAATAGGCAAGCAGCTTGGTGAGAAGGCAACAACTGTTGGCGCAATTATTAGAAAATGGAAGAAGTTCAAGATGACGGTCAATCACCCTCGGTCTGGGGCTCCATGCAAGATCTCACCTTGTGGGGCATCAATGATCATGAGGAAGGTGAGTGATCAGCCCAGAACTACACGGCAGGACCTGGTCAATGACCTGAAGAGAGCTGGGACCACAGTCTCAAAGAAAACCATTAGTTACACACTACGCCGTCATGGATTAAAATCCTGCAGCGCACGCAAGGTCCCCCTGCTCAAGCCAGCGCATGTCCAGGCCCGTCTGAAGTTTGCCAATGACCATCTGGATGATCCAGAGGAGGAATCGGAGAAGGTCATGTGGTCTGATGAGACAAAAATAGAGCTTTTTGGTCTAAACTCCACTCGCCGTGTTTTGAGGAAGAAGAAGGATGAGTACAACCCCAAGAACAGCATCCCAACCGTGAAGCATGGAGGTGGAAACATCATTCTTTGGGGATGCTTTTCTGCAAAGGGGACAGGACGACTGCACCGTATTGAGGGGAGGATGGATGGGGCCATGTATCGCGAGATCTTGGCCAACAACCTCCTTCCCTCAGTAAGAGCATTGAAGATGGGTCGTGGCTTTGTCTTCCAGCATGACAACGACCCGAAACACACAGCCAGGGCAACTAAGGAGTGGCTCCGTAAGAAGCATCTCAAGGTCCTGGAGTGGCCTAGCCTGTCTCCAGACCTGAACCCAATAGAACATCTTTGGAGGGAGCTGAAAGTCTGTATTGCCCAGCGACAGCCCCGAAACCTGAAGGATCTGGAGAAGGTCTGTATGGAGGAGTGGGCCAAAATCCCTGCTGCAGTGTGTGCAAACCTGGTCAAGACCTACAGGAAACGTATGATCTCTGTAATTGCAAACAAAGGTTTCTGTACCAAATATTAAGTTCTGCTTTTCTGATATATCAAATACTTATGTCATGCAATAAAATGCAAATTAATTACTTAAAAATCATACAATGTGATTTTCTGGATTTTTGTTTTAGATTCCGTCTCTCACAGTTGAAGTGTACCTATGATAAAAATTACAGACCTCTACATGCTTTGTAAGTAGGAAAACTTGCAAAATCGGCAGTGTATCAAATACTTGTTCTCCCCACTGTATATATATCGTGGTCCTCTGTAGCTCAGCTGGTAGAGCACGGCGCTTGTAACGCCAAGGTAGTGGGTTCGATCCCCGGGACCACCCATACACAAAAAATGTATGCACGCATGACTGTAAGTCGCTTTGGATAAAAGCGTCTGCTAAATGGCTTATTATTATTATTTATTATTATATATCCTCTACACACAATACCCCATAATGACAAAGTGAAAAACTGTTTTTTATCAATTTTGGCAAATTTATTAAAAATAAAAAACAGAAATACCTTATTTACGTAAGTATTCAGACCCTTTGCTATGAGACTCCAAATTGAGCTCAGGAGCATCCTGTTTCCATTGATCATCCTTGATGTTTTACAACTTGATTGGGGTCCACCTGTGGTAAATTCTATTGATTGGACATGATTTGGAAAGGCACACACCTGTCTATATAAGGTCCCACAGTTGACAGTGCATGTCAGAGCAAAAACCAAGCCATGAGGTTGAAGGAATTGTCCGTGGAGCTCCGAGACAGGATTGTGTCGAGGCACAGATCTGGGGAAGCGTATCAAAAAATGTCTGCAGCATTGAAGATCCCCAAGAACACGGTGGCCTCCATCATTCCTAAATGGAAGAAGTTTGAAACCAAGACCCTTCCTAGAGCTGGCCGCCCGGCCAAATTGAAAAATCGGGGGAGAAGGGCCTTGGTCAGGGAGGTGAGCTTGAGAGGATCTTCAGAGAAGAATGGGAGAAGCTTCCCAAATACAGGTGTGCCAAGCTTGTAGCGTCATACCCAAGAAGACTCAAAGCTGCAATCGCCACCAAAGGTGCTTCAACAAAGTACTGAGTAAAGTGTCTGAATACTTATGTAAATGTGATATTTCCGTTTTTTTATTTGATAAATTACCAACATTTCTACAAACCTGTTTTTGCTTTGTCATTATGGTGTATTGTGTGTACATTGATGAGGGAAAAAAACAATGTAATCAATTTTAGAATAAGGCTGGAGCCTAACAAAATGTGGAAAAAGTCAAGGGGTCTGAACACTTTCCGACGGCACTGTATGTGTATGTTTTGTGTTTAGAAAATAAAATTAACACACTTTTGTATTCTGTTGGAAAATGTTTTCCATTGCATGCCGTAATGAACAGCTTTAAATGTTAATGTCTGAGTGAGAATCAATGTCCCTGTGTTCTACCCCAGGCTGTGGAAGAAGAGGATAAGATGACCCCTGAGCAACTAGCCATCAAGAACGTCGGAAAGCAGGTAACCGTCCTCGCTGTAACCTGAACACAACATCTGTTTTGCGATCGTCATCAGAAATGCCCATGTATAATCTTTGCAATGATCTTCCTTGACCTCTTCAATGTGTTCCTCTCCCAGGATCCCAAGAGGCACCTGGAGGAGCATGTCGACGTCCTGATGACGTCCAACATCGTTCAGTGCCTAGCTGCCATGTTGGATACTGTGGTCTTTCAGTGAAGCATTTAACTGTTAATATTCTAACTCTCTTTGTTTTGTTTTATAAAAAATAAACGTGTATGAAAGGTGGACCGTGGACTTGTTTCCATAATATACAGAACAGCAGCATGGGTGATGTTGAGGTTTGACTGGTTGGTCTCAGATGGGTGCCTGAGAGAACGTTTTGGTCCATACATACAGAATGGCTGCGTCTGAAATGGCACACTAATCCATATGTAGTTCCCTGGACCCTGGTCAAAGGTAGTGCAGATATATAGTGAATAGGGTGCCATTTCCGACGCACCCTATGAATCTTGCCTAGCAGCCAGCTGTCACTAGCTGTCATTTTTCAATTAGTTATGCCATGGTTGATGGCTCTTCTGACACTCCTTGAAGCCTTGTTTTCCAATAACATTACAATTACCATCCCCATTTGATGAGAGGTGATGCCCACTTTCAAGATTTAGTAATATTTCCTAATACAAAAATGAAATATATGAATGTTCTCATTAACTATAAACATGTTTAAATATATAATCTACCTACCACATGGTACTAGAGGTATACAATGTGCAGTCTTTTGTTCCAGTCCAGCAAAACGAACATGATCAGAGAGATTTATATAACTGTTATAAATATAAGTTGTAAATATAACTGTTTATATAGGCTACTTATAAACCTTAAATCCCTATACTGTAATGCAAAGTGGAACAATTGTAGACGTTTCATTAGTTTCGTTGCAAGAATGATATTTCGAGTTCATATTCCCTTCATGTGATACGCGTAACCTTAACCAAAAAGTAGTGATGCTATTTGCGCAGCTCCAATATCGTCGCCTCTCAACATCCAACGCCCAATAATATGGATAGCGACTACCACAGCTCAGACAGGTCTGAACTCGCTACCCAGTACCCACCCTATGCTCTCCTCTAGTGAGGGGCTGAACTGAATAGAGGAACCTAACACGTTCTAATAAAGAAACCACAGGGATGACAAATCCGTCCGACGTAGACGACTTTATCGACTCCGAGGACTCATTTGGTGACGGCGGCAAGGGAAGCAGTAGGCACTCTGCTCAAGCGACCGTCTGTGACATTCGTCATAACTTCCATGGATCTACAGAGGGACGGTATCCCTCCTCGTCTCAGCCCAGCCCCAGCCAAGCTCAGCCCGCGTCTGCTACCTCGCCTGGTACCATGTTCCCACACCGGACACTGCACGGAGCCACCTACCCGGCCCTCGCCATCACCAGTTCGGGTCACTACATGGCACACCATCCTGTGGTCACACAAGGCTCATATAATAGCCTCTTAAACACCACGTCACCTCAAGGCTTTCCAGCGCCCGGATACTTTTACGCGCAGCCATATGGGCATGGCCACCAAGGAGGTGCTTTCCACAAGAGTTCAGCAATGCAAACCGGGATGGTTTTTGGTAAAGCGCAAGTTTATCTCTGCAATAGGGCCCTGTGGCTCACGTTTCACAGGCACCAAACAGAGATGATCATCACTAAACAGGGGCGGTGAGTATTGACCCGTTCCCTTTCTCGCCTCCCTTGCCTTGCATAATGTTGGCTAATGTCAACGTAGTGGGCAAACTGCCGTAATTATTTGGACGAAGTAAGATTGACGTGTTTATTGAAAACGAGTGGGGTTTATTAACAAAATATGACCACAGCAATAGTCCAAATTATATTTAATTTAGTTCTCTAAGTAAAAAAAAGTTTTAGCGGCCTTTTGGAATTTGTAAAGGAAATAAGACTCGTCTGAATCTTTTTTCTTCTTCCAGACGAATGTTTCCATTCCTGAGCTTTAATATAGCTGGGCTTGATCCGACGGCAAATTACAATATTTTTGTTGACGTCAGTCTCGCGGACCCTAATCACTGGCGGTTCCAAGGAGGACAGTGGGTACCTTGCGGCAAAGCTGACTCAAATGGGGCAGGCAAGTGATTTTACTTTCCCCCCTTCAATTCACTCCAAGTAAGATATCTGACAAAAAAGTGAGTAATGTCTTCAATAATTAATTTATAGGGAACAAGGCCTACATGCATCCAGACTCTCCGAACACCGGCGCGCACTGGATGCGTCAAGAAATTTCTTTTGGAAAACTGAAGTTGGCAAATAACAAAGGACCATTGGAAAGTGCAGGGCAGGTACGTTTAATATGGTCCTAATTTCGTACAGTCCCAAATATTTAAGGTGAAAGAGGTCTTGAAAATATGCTATATTCAATTCTGGAGACGTTGCATTGAGAGATTTTCTTTACAAAAAGTTTTCTTTAATGCATTTATCAACCACATTGTATGAAATAATACAGAATTTATTCTAATTTTTTTGTCTTTAGTGTAAAAAAAGAAAATATATATATTCAAGTTGTGCTTTGTCTCTAGAGATGGTCACAGATGTCCCAATTAACACCTGTTTTTCATGTCCTCTGTTCAGATGGTTGTCGTTCAGTCCCTCCATAGGTACCAACCCCGTCTTAATGTGGTCGAGGTGCACGAGGATGGGGCGGAGAACGCCAGTCAACCCAGACAATCATTTACGTTCCCCGAGACGCAATTCGTTGCAGTCACAGCATACCAGAACACAGACGTATGGAAATTCGTTCCTTTAAATATTGATTCATTTTCTTAATTGGGGCTAGGCTAAATGTTTTCATATTGGGGTAAAAGTGGTTCACAAATTTACAATAGATTAGACTAGGCCTTTTTAATGTTTTTCTCTTCCTCTTTCAGATAACACAGCTGAAAATAGACCACAATCCTTTCGCAAAAGGTTTTCGGGACAATTATGACAAGTAAGTAAAAATATATTAGCCTAGCCATTGTTTTATTTTTTAATATCTTACATATTTAAATATTATTCTATTGGAATTTTTCGAATCACAAATTGTGACTAAAATATAAACACATTTAACATGGTTTGTTTCGAGATTAAGCTATGCTTTACGCACGACTTTTTCCCATTTATTGGTGACGTTACTGTCACTCCTAAAACAGTCATTTGTTTTTTTAAATGATTTCTTCAATACCAGCTTTAATTTAAGGACTAAATTCTGACGTAAACGAGCTTGAAATGCATTACGGATTTGGATACGCGTATGTTTTAGTTCCAATGGGAATTTATGCGTTTACGTGTCAGAATTCCTGTGGACAGACAAGTTCGATTTTTTTGCCAATATTCTCTTCAAATATGTAGTTTTTTAAATCTAATGTAAGAAACTATTGGAGATTAATTAGGCTTAATGGTGTAAGACCTCCGGAGTGCTTTTTTTTATTTATTTATAATTGCATGCCATTGTTACTTCACACGTGTGGAAGGGTTTTATTTTAAGTCTTCTTTCTCATATGTATTATTTCCCCATTTCCTAATTGATTGTTTTGGATGTCTCTAGAATCTACACAGGCTACGATAGTGACCGGTTGACGCCATCACCGAGTGACTCGACCTACGCCCAGTTTGTCCCGGGTGCCAGATATGCACTTGCTAATTCTTTCCTTCAGCACCAATTCGTCAGCACTTATGCCAAGTCCTGTTTCCGCCCTAGCGCAGGGGCTACGTCTGGACTAGACTATAACGTCCCCTTAACCAACAGCATGCTGTCACCGCAAACCAGCGAGGAGGACATGGTGGCGGCATCACCGAGATGGTTTGTCACACCAACCAACAACAGACTGGACTATGCCTCCCGCACAAATGACGCGACTGGAAACACGGCCACTTTGCTGTCATATGCAGCAGCTGGAAAGGCACTACAGCTGTCCGCAACAGACTGTTCGGGTAGAGCCCTTACTTATTACACAGAACCAACGGATTTTGCGCGTACCTCACCCCAGTATTGCGGTGCGACTAGCCCGGCGCTATCCTGCTGGACTAACGGACACGCTATTGGTACTGCGAACTTTGACGAGGTCCACTCACTTTCAAAGGAGAGTTTGCCAACGGGTGTCTCTGAAGACGCAAAACCACAAGATATCTCGGAGTCTAGTTGGCTAGAGACATCATAAACTGAATTGAAGAGATATTCCATCCTAGGGTATTGACACTAACGACAGCAGTCTAGATACCCATCTGGACATCGTGAATTCGTTTTTTCATTAGACTGCATTTTTGGATTAGCCTACAGTGGGCTATGGATATGACTGCAGTATTAAAATGTTAACGACAAAATAATATATTTAAGCTATAATGTATCTATTTAACATTAGCTGTAGGCCTACTGTAGATGTTTTAATTGAATCCTGTTTTCTAATTTGACTGATTTGATTGATAGATTTTGATTTGTTGAATACATTTTTGGAAAGTGTTCATGTCTTAGCCTGCATTGAGTTTCATAAACATGATGTTTTATTGGGCTGGCTTTAGTAGGCTATATAGGATCCACAATGTCTTTACTAGTGCAAAAAGCAAGGTTCTGAGTTCTAACAACTGTACTAAAAGTAAGTAGCCTAATGCTTCAAAACACAAAGGACTTATTAATAAATCAATGCCCAACGTAAAAAGGTGAAGAGGGAATTTGTTGTAGCCTTTGAAACGATGTATACTACTAATTAATTATCTAAAAATGAAATAAAAATAGAAATTCGATTAAAAGCAGATGGAAAAGTTGCAATTCCTTTTCTCTTACCGTGATTACACCTGGCATGATGGTCTATTAGTGCTGTTGCTGCTTTGCTTGCAGGTGCATGAACAATGGCGCAAAATGAAGATGAAAGATATTCATATTGGACCACAATGGATATAAATAATCTGAACTTGTTTTTTAATCCTCGATAATGTTTAATGTGTGTATTGTTGTACTCGCATAGCTGATTCAACATATATGTATTTTACATTTGTCAAATAAAACGTATACGTTCATTTGGCAAGTTTTCTTCAGGGAAAAACCCCAACATATTTTAGTGTTAAAGTAACTGTCCAGTGTTTCCAGATTTCTGTGAAATATGACCTATAACTTACAATATGAGTGAAATACTTTTCCTTCCAAAAAATGGTAATTAAGTATGTTAAAAAGCAGCTTTTCGGTGTTTGAATGGTTTGTGCGTACCGCAATAACACAATGGTGTGGGCATATAGGCTACCAGTGTGGGTGTATACAGGTCATTAAAAATATTAATGACAAGTTAACTGCTGATTGGCCAACTCAGCCAATGAGCCAACCTGACTTCACATTATATGAGGAAATAGTAAGCATTTTTGAGACCATCTGTTTGAGGTGGGGTTTTTGAAGTGTTTTTCTCTAATTTATGCTTTGGCGTCAAATACGAGTATAGGACGAGTCAACAGCATTATTTGAGTATGAGCTAACAGAAAATGAACTTTTTAAAAGTGACATTTTCACTGGACAGTTACTTTAACCTTCATTTAGGTATTTGCAGAAAGTTAATCTCGGTTAACCCAGAACAAAAATCTTGAGCAATTTGCTCATCTGTGTTTACATATTTCGGAAGCTGAACCTCCAAGTTAAAATAACTTAAGTTATTTGCATAGAGCTTCCTATTGGTTGATTCTGATACTTTCCAAGTGGGAAACTCGGCCAAATTATATGTTTCTGAGTTGTCTTGAGCACCAGTAGTCTTTCCATGAGAGATTAACAGAAAGTAGTCATGGGCCCAATCCCAAACCAGGGACTGTTTACATAGCAGGTTAGGATAATTAACGTGGCAGGTTAGAATTATCATAACAGGCTAGGAGAATGAGGTTAAGGTTAGGAAAAGGGTTAGGCTTAGCTACAAAGCTCCAATTGTCAACCACTGTTGTCCCCGGACGCGACCACTAGATGGAGCTGTAGTAGGCCTACTCAATCTAGCCACAACGGTAGAAACGTAAACAGACCATCAGTCCTGACATATCATCAGTGATTTTGTTTACATAAGACAACACATTAGGCTTTTTTTTAACTTGAGAAATACTGCACCAAACACCTTAGCTAGATGTAAAATTGAGCGACTAAAACCTGCAAAAACGTCAAAATTAATTACCGATTTTTATTTATTTTTTATTCTCACTACTTTGATGAAGTATTGGCTTTGTTCCTATGGTGTCTCATGGGGGACAACTATCATTAACTGCCACATCGAACCACACCCCCAAGACTGAAATCTCGTTTTTCTTAATGAGCAACAGAGAAACCAATTCGGAATCTGAGCATTCAGTTGCTCTTTAACCTAATCAAAAATTGGTGAGTTTCCAAAAATGTAATGGTATGCTGTCAAACAAGGCTCCAAAAAAGCTAAAAGGGACGTATAAAGATTTGCTATGTATTCTCCATAGGCCCATTGCCACCAGAGCAGCCCTTCTCCAAGACCAGCCACCTGACTGACTTCCTGAAGCAAGGCCACTGGAGAGGCCCATTGGATACATCAATCTACCATCCACTGCTCAGCCTGTGGTGAAGATGTCAGGTGAGAATTGTAACTTGACTGGTTTAGGCTACAATTATACTGTTTAATTGCCTATACAAAAAACAAAACTTTTTTGTAATCATCTTTAATTGCATATCCTAATTTTGTGTTTCTTACCAGGTCATGGTTTCAGGTGTTCAGACATCTTCATATACACAGTATGTCAAGTGTGGCTCAGTTGGTAGAGCATGGCGCTTGCAACGCCAGGGTTATGGGTTCGATTCCCATTGGGGACCAATATGAAAATGTATGTAGCAGAGCATCTGCTGAAATGTAAATGTATAAATACTCATCTTTGGACCAAGAGCAGTTCATAGTGCTGGAAGGAGACAAGATATGGACATCAAGTCCCCTTCAAAGGTGTTCTTCATTCACCTTTTGTTGACATTCTATAATTTATCCATGTCAAAAATGTGTTAGTGTCCCCTTCACTGTCTGCTATCTTGAATTTAAATTAATGAGTGCACACATTCATTTGAATCAGGAAATCTAGATTTCTGGATAGGAAAACGGTACAAACACTGGCAGGGGCCCCTGTGCAGTGTCATTGTGATTATGCTTGTGCCTCTTGGCACAGCGGTCCCCCCAGGGTATCAAGCATAAGCATCAGACCTCTCAGAATAAGATTAGATCAGATCTGAAGCTTCCACCTTGTACAAACCTTGAACCCTCTCACTTTGATGAACTGAAATGTCTCAAGGTAGAAACAAGTCACCCAGATTAAGTTGGGGTTTACCCACAAAATTGTCCATAACTCTGTCTCCAAATATCTGGGGTTGGACTAATATGCACTTTAAGCACTTTGACATGCAAATACAGGCCCAGCCTTACTCAGACATGTTAAGACCTTTGCACTATCCTGCTGACTTTTTGTAAATATTCTGTAAATATCCGTTGCTTTTTTCTGTTATGTTTCACATTTTAATATGTGATCTTGTCATATGAACTATGACTGCTGTAAAATGGAATTGCCTCTTGAGGACATTAAAGTCTGAATCTGTGTAATTATTTCAGGCATATAAATGACACCCATCAGTACTCCACAGAGGGAGCTCTACCAACCTTGTTCCCTGCAGATTTAAGCGCTCCATTGGGAAAAACGAATGTGTATTCTGCTGCAGTTCTGTGGAACAGTTTACCAAGCTACCTGAGAACTTCATCAGAGAATAGCTTTAAGGTGTCACCAAAACAAAACAAAAAAACATTTGAGAAATACCATGGCGGTTTGATAAGGGGTATTCTCTCACGAGGTGACTCGTAAACGGGCACCTCTGCGCTGTAGATGTTGTTGTTGTAAATGGTTTGCTGTAAGTTGTTGTTTTTAACTGCATTGAGTGCATGTGAAGTGTTGGTCTTTCCCACCTGTCATCTTGCTGAAAAATGAGGACCACAATGGAAATAAACCACCAGGTTTTATTGTGTTTTCATCCTCGATCATTTTTTATGTATGTAATGTTGTCTCCGGCTGGAGCAGCCTACTGCTTTTAATTATCCAATAAATTGTATCAATCGATCAACAGCTTTATCTTGACTTGTACCATAGAAATAGAATTGACTTGAAACGGGTATTCATTGGTTTTAATGGACATTCATTTAAATCTAATATCTCGATGTGATTGGAGACGTTTGGTTTTTCTATTGATCGTTTTTTTGTATTTGTAATATATTCCTGCTTGATTAATGTTGATCATTGAATTTGGAAGAAAATGAGCTGGCTACTGAAAATTCCGCCAAAGTATTAATCAAATTGCTGTTTGATATGACACATCATCCCATTGAACGCTAGGTGGCGCCAATGTAACGTTTTATTCAAATGATTTTTATTTTTTTGTCGTTTTGTCATTTTATCCAGAGCGACTTACATGAGCAATTAGGGTTAAGTGCCTTGCTTAAGGGCACCGACATATTTTTCACCTAGTCGGCTCGGGGATTAGAACCAGCGACCTTTCGGTTACTGGCACAATGCTCTTACCCACTAAGCTACCTGCCGCCCGATTTCAGTCAACGACTTCATAAATGGGTGAATGAATCAATGCGCTGTATATCCCTTCGCACTGCGCACATATGTTGGCCATGATAGAAAGGGTTCATGGTTATCTGCGTGTATTTTAGAATTGGTGAAGTAGGCCATTTGATTACGGTCCCAATTTTCCCTCATCGATTGCAATAGAGCAAATTAATTGCTGTATAGGCTGAATTCATGGGTCAGACAGCAATCCTAGGATCCTTTGTTAACCACAAAGGGAACAGAACCAGAATAGGCAACATTAAAATATAGTAGCCTACGTGATTTTGTGTGTGGTTAATTTGTATTACAATAGGGTCTTGGTAGCGTAAAATAGCCTACCTAATACCGAATTAAATATTGTCCCAAATGAACTCGAGTCTACCTCTGTTTTATCCTGAGCTTCAATATTCTGTGGATTATTTTTAAGAATAGGTGCAATCTTGGGGCAACGCGCGCCAATGTAGATAAAATCAAAATCGTGCTGCGCTTCATTGCCTCACGTTTGCTCCACCTCGTCATGGAGCGCAAATTGCACTCTCCAAGCTTGAGCGCGTGAATGGGAAATCGCTACCCAATGCCTAAATTATGTAGGACAGGACGAGCAGGATGCTTACCTTAATTTGAGAAAATCGGCACGGTTTATGTAAAGATTCACCTTGATATAGCCCGGCAACACTAGACAGAAGAAGACAACAGGAGCGTATCAAGTCTACAGAGAACGCGAGGCAAGGAAAATATGGACATAACGGACCAAGGAGCACAAATGGAGCCGCTACTGCCCTTGGTAAGGATGTCCCATAGGCTACCTACAATAGGCAACCATTGTGTCCTCATTGAAAATGTATTTCATAGCATTGGTTGAGAATGTCTTGATATGGGGATCGAACACCACCGTAGAACAGCCTATGTGTAAAATACATTTGATATAAATC